TGGGCTGCCTGCTACTTTGAGCACAGCCCTGCAGATTTCTTTCTTTAATAAAGCTTGAACGGTACTGGGCATCTCGGCTCACTTTCTTTCAATTATCTTTTCAATCTCACAGATGAAAACAAGGTATATTGGAGGTTCAGAGACTTGCTCATAGTGGACACAGAAAAAGTAGATTGCTGAACTAGAGCTCAGAGTCAGCTCCTCTGATGCCAGATCCTGGGCTCCTCCTATGGTACTATGGTATAAGAAAATAATCTAAGTGATGCATTTTCAGAAATGACTTATCTGAGGGTGTTTTTTGAGATGGTAATTAGTTCCTAGCCCCTTTTGTTTTCCTCAATTTCTTGGAGGGTCTCTGAACAGATAAGGCTCTCCTTGAGATGGTAATTAGTTCCTAGCCCCTTTTGTTTTCCTCAATTTCTTGGAGGGTCTCTGAACAGATAAGGCTCTCCTTGAGATGGTAATTAGTTACTAGCACCCACTGTTTTCTTCATTCCCTGCCGTTTCTCCCTCGACAGGGCTTAGGTGGGACTTTTTCGTGGGTTTGTCCTGAGCCCGCAGACAAAGGAACTCCTTGAAAGGGGGTAATAAATTTTAGGTGCTGTCTGGGAAGACTGTGCACCCCATAGTACTCACCGCCAATGAGGAGGTGGGGGGAGGGACTTGTGTACTAGGAAATAAATTGCTTGTTACAGCCCTTTCCCATGTGCCTGCCCTTCAGACACCTGAACCTTGCAAGGCTGTAATTAAAGTCTCGCTTCACTGTACCTCTTGTCTCCGTGTCCATCCTTTAGCCTTGGACGGGTGAGGGCATTTCTCACATGTGGCAGTCACAAAACCTCACCACTTACTTTCCATCTAACTTCATTTCTGGTTTTATCATGTCTTCCCAGCACTTATTTTTCTTCTAATCCAATCACTTCACCTACTTGTTTTTATTTTATTTTTATCTGATCATGTTGCATGTGTTTATGTAAGCTTGCTCAAACTAACTTTCTATGAATCAGATGTAAATTGATAAAAACTTCAATAACCACAAAAGGAAAAAATAAAAGAGAAAAATCACACAGTCACCTCCCCAACACATCACTTTAATGCTTTATATTCCCTTTCCTAAGGTCTGGGCCTTAGAAAATCACATCATTAGCCAATTGTGATATTAGGGAATATGTTGTTTTATATTGTGCTAATTTCATTGAATGCTTCATCAGAAATAGGTTTCTGTGTTGCTACAGTCTTCCTGATGATGATTTTCCATAACTGTGTTTTGTTCTGTAAAGGCATATGGCCATTACCACACTGCTGGATACTCAAACTAGTTCTTCCACGGCTTTCTGAGGCCAGTGGACCATGGGGGTGCTGTAGAAGTCTTCTCCCCATGCCAAGCCTTCCCACTGGAGACTCTTTAACTGCCTTAACACCTTGCCTTTCCCATTCCACAGGCACAAGTATCGACATGTGTCAATTCGTGACCTCATTCAAGCTTCTTTATTCAGGCTTTAATGGCTGATAAATTCCCTGGGTCTTTGTTATGCAAATAACCTGAATCCTGTTTTGGAACTAGGTATAATATAAATAAAGACAATGTAAACACTTCCTGGGAGGACAAGGATTTTGTTTACAAATGGCGCAGCAGTACTACACATAAATAACCTGGTGATTTCCTGCTTTTGACAATTTCATGCTTTAATATATTACGTGCTGGTATAATCAATAAGGTGTGTAAGTTTTGACTCAATGCTTTGGAACAAAGGTTTCTTACTCTTTTATCTAGCCACTACAGAGAAGATGCCTTCAAGAGAAATGGCTTTGAGGGAGGCACTGTAGGGAAGTGGTTATAAGTACACAGGGCAAGGAGCCAAGTGGATCTGGGATTGAGTCTCAGCTCTGCTCTTAATGAATGTAAAGCTCAGAAAAAACAACTTAGGTTTATGCATCTCTACCTTCTTTATGGGGTTGTTTAGATAAGATAATGTGAATAAAGCATTTAATGTGACTTCTATCCATTACATAGAGTGTTCAGTAAACATTAATAATATTAATGGGATAGTTTCTTTGAAATAACAACTTCAATTGAAATGAATTTGAAAGCTTTGAACTCAAGATAATAGTGAACTTCATTTGGTAATTAGGCACAAAATAATAAAAGAACTGGAGCGATAAGAGTTTCCACTAAGCGGTTGTTTTTCACTTTCTCCCAATGTTACTTAAGAACCCAGTAGGAAGCCTGGCTTCTGACTGTGGATCCAGCTTGCAGATATGGGTTTTAATGAATGACCAACTGGGGTAAATCCCTGGGTCAGTAATTTAATTTGCCTCTGTCTTACTTTCTCTTCTATAAAATATTGATTCATGGGAAACTAATGGTTTTGTAAAACCCTCTAGATCGAGATTGTGTTTATGGCCACACTCGTGTTACTCTATCAACATGAAAGTACTGGTAGTGCAATCAGTCAAATCTCATGTCCTGCTGTCAGTGGCATTCATTCACTGACAAAATGTCTGTGTGTGCATGTCACAAAGGCCCTCGGAGAATGAAAGCCATTTTCACTGAGGTCTAATTTGAAGTGAGTTGGCATCTACTCCAGGGCATAATGCAGGTGTGCTCCACTTTAGAAAAGTCACTTTTCCCACAAATCTGCAGATTGGGCCTGATAAACCACAAGGAAATGACTCTGCCAGAGACCCCTGGGATTACTTTGCCTCAAAGTCTGTCTTCAGCAGGAATGGCTAGTCCCTGGCCCCAGTGGCTGCACATTGATTGATACTTGCCCCATTCAAAAAGCATACGCTAGAGGAGAACAGTAATCAATTAAGAAATAAAGCATGTATTAATAACCTGGGGAAAACATTCACTCACCCTACCTTTAAGGATTCAGAAATAATGGGGATTATTCCAAAGCAAGGATAGTGGATAATACTTAATGGTAGAACGAATTACTTGAAGAATTATATTCTGAATGTAAAGTGTTATATAAGTCACACAGTGCCTGACACACAATAGACTCGGAGAATTCCAATGAACTGAGTGAAAAGATGGAGAGAAGAAAACAGAAAGGAAGGAAAGAAGAAATTAGCAAAAAAAAAAAAAAGCTAGGACTTAAGATATATCAGCTATGGTTCATAGGTTGAATGACTCTAGCCAAATCCCTTAACCGGAGCCTCAGTTTCTCACTATTTCTTATTATTGCTGTTGAACAGAAATAATGTCTGCCTCACTGATTTGTTCTGAGAAAGAAATCAAGTAAATGGATGAAAGCAGCTAACAATCATAAAACCTGAACAGTGTATCAGTATCAATTCAACACAATATAATTCATCAAATATTTACTGCACCCTTCTATCTGCTTGGCATTGAATCTCTGGTGCTGGAATTGGATAAGAGATGAATAAGACAGCCAACCTTGCCCCTTGGATAGGGCAATGGGGATGGAGGGAGACCCAGGTTCTGAATCTTAGGACTTTTATTTTATGTTACATATATTCATAATAGATCCCCCAAACTCCACCCTGGCTGAGTTGCCCCAATCCTCCCACACAAGAAACTCAGTCTGTTAGGGGAGACAAACCTATAAACCCAAAATTCCAAAGCAGCATACTAAATGCAACAATGGTGGTGTATGGAACATGTATGAAGAGAATGAGGAGGTGCTCATGAACTGCAGTAGGGGAGTTAGGTAGTTTCCTCAAGGGGATGATGCGTGGGCTGAATTATGGAAAACAAACAGGAGTTCCTACGGAAAGAAAAAGCAGAAAAAGGGCATTTCAGTAACAGAAAGAATCACATGCAAAGCCAAATAAACAGGAAAAGCCTAGTTCTGCCATTAATTAAACCTTTTTAACCTTTATGGAATTTACTCGAATCCCTCTGGGATTTCGCTTTTCTCATCTCAGAAAATGCAGGTCGGGGGTGGGGGCTGGGTGGGGGAAGAGGCAACCTAGATTTTCCCTAAGGTGCTTTCTAACTGCATACCTCATGGTTGAACAAAAAGAAAAGGGGTAGCTTTGGAACCATCAAGTGTTATTTTCAGAGCATGGGCCAGAAGCCCCATGTTTTGTGACAATCGAGATGGCAGGCAGAGCCTGCAATCTTCATGAATTTTCGCATCCAGTACTTCACCCACTTCAATACTCAGGGCATCGAGTGGGCCAGGCCCTGTGCTATTAAGGAGACCACAGTCCAGCAGAGGGAGCCAGACTCGTGAATAAACAAGTACCTGTAGATGAATACTTGGAAATAATATTGATTTGCACACTGAGGTGCATGGCGCAGGAAAACAGAAGCCTCTAGGACGTGTGGGTCACGGGCAGGGTGGGTGACAGGAGTTACCCCCTAACCAGATAAATAAATGATTTATCCCTTAGCCAAATAAATTTATTGTCTCCTCATTCTGCTTCACCTTCCCCAAGAGGCCGCAAACGTTTTCAGCCGCCGATTCTTCCTCGGTAGGGCCACAGGGTGCCCTCTGTTAACCTGCAACCTTTCCCGGCCTGTTTATGGAGCTCCGCCCACGCACAGCGAATGCAGGTCTCAGGGCTGACGAGAAGGCTCACGCCACAGCTTCGCTCAGACTTGAGCACCCAATGCAGGGCTCCCGGCGTCCTGGGAAGGGGTGGCCGGGAAGGCGGGCTGGCCAGTGTCTCCAGCGGTTGGGCTCCCGGCGGCTGGGCGGGACTCAGGCTACGGTATAAGAAAGGAGTGCCACTGTCTCGGCTGCAATACTGAAGTTGGGGCCCCAGCCGCGACCGGGAGGTCACCGGCTCTGAACCTGCAACCAGACCCAGAGAGACTGAAGAAGAGGGAGAGGCCTGATTTGTTGGTGCGTGAGAGATCTGCTCAGACTGGCCGGGGGTTGTAGGCACACCGGCATATTCAGCGGGTCCAGGGGAGGGATCCAGCCGCGTCCCGAGAGGCTCCTGCAGCTCCAAGCGTCCAAACTCAGCAGCTTCTCTCCCCCCGCAGGAGCCCTTCTTCCCGCCATTCCCAGCCCCAGCCTCCAAGGATGCGGCTCCTCGGGAAACTCCGTTCTACTGCAGCAGGCAGCACCGCTTCGGAGCCAGCCTTCTCCAACGTGCTCACTCCGGGACGCATCCCTGAGTTCTGCATCCCGCCGCGGCTGCCCGTGCCCTGCCCGCCTGAGTGTCCGCCCCCGGCCGCCGCCCTGCCCCGGCGGTGCGCCACCA